AAGCACAATGTAACCGCACCATGACCACCCTAGCCCCTAGCACCCAGCCCACAGCCAAAACTGTGTGTGACAAAATTTCCTTGTGACGCTTTCCTCCTTCAGTTAGTGACATGGTGCTTTGGACCCAGTGGCTAGTTGGTAACATCAGTTTGTTTGGCTGAGTGTCTGCATGCTCAATTGGTTGGTATATGAAGAAGGTCGTCACAGTTCCCCTTCCAATTATGGGAGTGGACATTTGCTGACTGCTGCTTCTGCATGGGGACTCTGCCTGGCCCTCTGCTTGCATTGCCTCCTGTCAACCTTCTAGCAACCCTACAGTTTATTCGCAGTTTCCAGATGACAAAACTGAAGCTTAGAGAAGTAAGCTTGTGTCCAAGACAGCACAGAGACAGGAATTCAGATCTGTCTCAAGCCTGAACTCAAAACATTCTGTGCTCCAAGTGTCTCCTCCAATCTTTTGGGTGCAGAGGCTGGAAAGTGTGGCCAGTCTATGGGCCAAGAGTGTTCCAGGCATTGAGTGGGCCCCCTGACACTCCTGGCCTTATTTTCCAGGATCTATTTCTTTTCCCATCTTCTTTGTTCTGTAGTGCTGCTATGACAGAAACACAACAAGTGGGTGGCTTTAACAAACAAATTTACTCTGTCACAGTTTAGGAGACTGTAAGTCCAAATTCATAGTGCCGGCTCCAGGGGAAAACTCGGAAGGAAGGTCCTTGTTTCCTTTCAGCGTCTGTGGGCCTGGGATTCCTTGGAGAGCTCCATGTGTCTTGGCATCGATCTTCCCCTGGGTCTAGGAGGTTCAGACCGTAGGGACCCTGAGTCCAAAGGATGTGCTCTGCTCCTGGCTCCTCTTTCTTGGTTGCACTGAGGTCCCACCCCTCTACTCACTTCTCTCTCCTTTTGTCTTTTGTAAGATTAAAAAGTGATGCAGGCCTTACCCCAGGGATACTCCCTTTGCATCAGAGCAAGGCTATGACTAGAGTAAGGGTGTTGCATCCTCCCCAGTTCCCTTATATCAGACAAGGACTGATCACAGTGAACACAGGTGTGCTGATTTTCAATTTTGCTACATAAGAGTATTAAAACATGAGCTTCTACTATAAAAGAAAATTTTTACAGTAAGGAGATTATTGCAGAATACAGGACAGTCTTTCTCAAGAAATGCCAGTCCCTTTCCTACACTCATACAGTCTTGTTTTTACTGTCATTTTGTTTTTTTCCATTTTACTGAGGACCAATGAAAACATCTGATGTGCCTAACTGCCAAACTACTGAGAGTCATGGCCCAGCCCCACTGACACCTAGGTTTGGGGGACACAATTCAGTCCACGACACCATCCTTCCCACATACTCTAGCCTTCCTCAGGATTCTTCCCAAATGCTTCAGAAGCAAAATAATAGTGATGAGAGGTCTGTGCCACAAAAGAATAAGAGAGAGAGGGATGGGGGACACTGGCTTGGACAACGCCATGAGGTAAAGAGCCCTGGCTCTGTGCCTCCTGTTGCCTAGGAGAAGCCTCACATCACATGCAGGCCAAGCGGTGGAAAGCACGCAGAGGGGCCTTTGGGTGAGGAGGAGAGTGAAGGGCAGAGACAGAGTGAGCAAGGCTGCCACCAGCTTCGAGTGCAAGGATGGGCCAGCCGGATGGGCTGGGGCCCCTTGTGTTCCAATCCCAACAGATTCAAGGATGCTGGCTGGCCCTGGGCACTGCTGAGTTGGAAAAGCTCTGCCAGGCCTGACTGACATCATTCTGGTCTGGAGCTTTCTAGCCCACATTCATTTGCATGGAAGATTGATAAGGTTATTAAAACCTCTGGTTTGGCTATTTTTGGTAGCATTCTTCCAGCAGGGCTGCTTGACTATAGCTGCACTCCAATGACTGCATCATAAAAAAATCCTCCTACCTTTCTGTACTTGGAAGCACATCAGCTGTACTGTTCCTCTTTATTCTGTCAGTCTCATCCCTTCTGAGTGCCCAGAAGTATGTGCAGTGATTAGGAAAAGCTGTTTGCAATCATGTCCTTAATAATATGATTGAATAACATTGATGAAGTCTTGGCCAGTAATGTGGGAGAGAGCAGAGTGCCTGGGTGGTATAAATGTTGAACACATTGGACTGCTCACCAAAAGGTTGGAAGTTCGAGTTCACCCAGAGGCACCTTGGAAGAAAAGCCTGGCCACTGAAAATCCTGTGGAGGTCGCCATGAGTCAGAGTGGACTCAGTGGCAAATTAGAGAAACACAAAAGTGGGGAGCAGTGCCATTCTGACAGTGCAGAGAGCTGTACAGGTTTCGGGGTGCTCGTGTGCCTGGTACTCGCAACAGCTGTCTGAGAGTGGGAAGGTGGGATTGAATGTCCCACTGTACAGAGGATGAAACCAAGTATTGGGTTTAATTTCCTGCCCAAGGTTACAAAGCAGGAAATGAGCAGAATCAGTTGCTGTCATGGAACTGGGATTTAAACCTAAATATCGGGCTCACAATCCTGCACCATTCTCCTTCCGTACAAGGCGCTCACTGACAGTCGTCCCAGTGGCCGTTTCCCCTTTGTCCTGAAGGATGGGCTTTGGTAAGAACTCTGAAGTCTTGTGACATTTCATCAGGATTCTGTATGTTGAAGTCGAGTTCTGGCTGCCATCAGAGACCCTGCCTCCGGGTCAAGCAGGTGTGGGATTGACCTCCAGATGCCCTTCCAGGCTCTCACAAGCCAGCACTCGTAGGCCCCAGGGTTGAACTGAATCGAAAAACTTAGGTGGAAGATGCCTGAGCTGCTTCTTCAGCCTTTTAAATCGTCCCACTTGAAAATGTTGGCGAGTAAAGCACCACACTCTTTCTCTTTTATCATCAGTGGAGCTACCACCTTCTGTCACATCGTGATTAATGAGGAGGAGGCGGTGATAAATTGGCCGTTGCTAAAGCGAGGAGGACAGAATGGTACTGAAGATGAGCCTCAACATTAATGAGCAGAAAAGTCATAATGATTCACTAGACTTTGTGAAACAAGAAGCACGAGCAGAAAGTACAATGAGCTTTGCTTGGTAATTGGCCAGTTTACAAGCAGGGATAAACAACTGCTAATACCTGAGGGTGCAAATGCCCAGAACTGATGAGATAAGAGGAGCCGTCTGTCTGCTGGGAAATCAGAAAATGCCAGCACCCTGGGGTGGGGGAGTCGGTGCCAGGCTTCCAGCCCTGTGCAAAGAGCCAACCAAGCATAGTGGCTTCTGAAGCATCAGACCAAAGAAAACCCAACCCACTGTCATCGAGTTGATCCGACTCAGAGAGACCCTATAGGACAGAGTAGAACTGCCCCGTATGGTTTCCAAGCCTGTAAATCTTTACGGAAGCAGACTGTTACATCATTCTCCTGCAGAACAGGCTCGTGGGCTCAAACCGCCAACCTTTTGGTTAGCAGCCCAATGCCTTAACCACAGAGCCACCAGAGCTCCTGAAGCATCGGGGGAGGAGAGCATAGCCCAGAAAGCTCAGCACACAGAAAGCTCAGCACTTGGCCAAATAAGGCTCAGGTTCACACTAGAGCAGTAGACACTGAAAGAAAAAATCAAAGATGATCCCCTGGCAGGGATCACATACGCCCCACGAGGGTGAGTCCGCCGTCATTTTGTGAGTGCCTGCTGGGTGTCAGGGCTGTGAGGAGGCCGCTTGGATGAGTGGCTCAGTGCCCAAGCCTGAGACAGTGCCCATGGCCAAGACCCAAGACAATACCCGAGCCTAAGCCCAAGACAGTCTGTAAACCCAAGATAGTGGCTGAGCCCGAGACAGTGCCCACATTCACAGCCCGCCCTGCCGCTTACTAGCTGAGGGACATCAAGCCAGCAGCATAGCTGCTCTGCACCTGTGTTCACACAGGACTGCGCTCACACGGCTGTTGCAACATGGAACTAAGGACAGACACAGGCAGTCCATAAGAAACCTGACAGGTATCACCCTTCATCACTTGCCCCTTAGTTACCATGCGAGGCTTCCTGTGGCTCGGTGGCGATGCAGGGAAAGGACATTTCTTTGGAAATGTGAGAAATGCTAGAATACTCTTGGGTAGTATTTGTCTGATGTGGATTGTTTACGAGGGTTTAACAAGGCGATTGCTATTCATTTGCCTCAGTCTTTAGAGATAAAAAGCCCTTTCAATTATAGGTGCAGTTACAGCAGGAAAAACACCAGGAATTCCAGCAGTGCCCCCAGTCTCTCAGGACCCATAGGAAAAACCCCATCTGTTGGTAGCAACCGGGATTAGGCCAGCCCTCACACATGTAGCAGGCCTCAGAACATTCCAGTCACATCCACATGCATCCACTCTCATGTGATTCCCCCAGGAGCCAGAGGGAGGCGACAATGTTTGATAAGTGCTTGATATGTGCTGGGCACTGTGTCATTTGCCTTACACACGTTGTCTCACTTAACAGCCCCATGAGGTGTGTGTCACTGATGAGGAATCTGAGGCCCAGGGCCACACTGCTGGTCAGCAGAACCAGCATAGCACCCAGCCCTCCCAAGGCCCAGCCAGCCAGGAGGACAGTCTGAGGCTAGGAAGAGGGGCAGTCTGCTGTGCCAAGAGGGGCATGGAACTCCCTGTCCCTGTCCCTCCTGCAGATCAGGGACCTGCGCTCACTTGCCCACAAGCCTGGGATTGTCGATTGTGACCTGGACATTTACTGGATGACCATGTCCATGGGCACACAGAGACACCACACTTGTTCACTGCTAGCCCGGTGCTCCGCCGGCCTGCCTCAGCCCTGGCCTGCAGTCAGTATTTGTCTCGGTAATGACAGTGTGGGCTCGCAGCAGCGTACCAGTGTGTTCTCACCCAGGTCCCAGCAGCTCGTGTTGAGTCATCCTCCGTCGGCAGACTTGCTGGCCATTTGGAAAAGGATGTGGAGGAGTGAGGACGGGGAGGTGTCGGATCCTTGCTGGGGCGTTTCTAATTTGTAGCTTATGGTTTCAAAGCCAACTCTCTCTCTGATTTTTCTTGTTTTCTACAGCATCCCTTTGAGAAAGACATTTTCTGCTCCCGCCAAGTTGGCAAGGCCTTCTTCCTGCATCTCCTGGCCGTGTCTTAATTGCCAGACTCAGCACCTCCTGGAAGCCCCACCCTCTCCTCCAGTGGCCACAGTGGAAGGACCATGGGCGAAACTGAAGGGAGGAAAGATGAGGCAGATTATAAGCGCCTGCAGACCTTCCCTCTGGTCAGGGTAAGCCCTGGGATGGAGGCAGATGGCCAGCAGGGCCCACACAGCTTTGGAGAGGTGTGGCAAAGTTCACCCCCCAGACGGCAGGGGAGGAAGTTCAAGGCACTGCCAGCTCAGATCTAGAATTCTGGGAGTCAGTAAGGATTCATTCTTTCATTCATTCATTCATTCGACAATTATTTCCTTAGGTCCCCTATTGTGTGTCAGGCACTATTCTAGACATTGTGGACATAGTGGCAGACAAGGCAGACAAAGGCCTGGCCCACAGGGAAGAAATGTGTAAGGCCCCCAATCCAGGTCATAAAGGCCATAAAGAAAAATGAAGTGGGTGGCCAGGGCTGGAGAGGAACACCAGTCTCTAGAAAGGTGTCTCTGATCAGAGACCTAAATGAAGTTAGGAGGAAAGCTTGCAGAGATCCGGAGAAAGGACAGTATGAGCTGGGAAAGCCATGGCACAGGGGCCCTAAGGGGGACATGAGCCCAGCATTTCAGAGGAACAGAATAATTAGTGTGGCTGACATGGAGTAATGAGAGGTCAGGATGACAGCAGGGACCAGACCTCACTGGACTGACGGGCTTTGAGGAATGGGCGTCTACCCTGCGTTCAGAGGGGAGCCTGTTTAAAGCAGGGAAGTGATGCTTTATGCTTACAAAAGACCACCACCCTAGCTGTTGTGAGAAGAATGGATTTTAAGATACCAGAGCAGAAGTGGGTATCCAGTGTGGATGCTACTGCAGAGGGCCAGAGAGAGGAGTGGCTAGGTCCAGGTCACAGCAGTGGAGGTGGTGAGAGACAGAGTCAGGAGAGATCTTGAAGGTTGAGCCAACAGGACTCACTGACAGATCGCATGTGGGGTGTGAAGGAACAAGAGCTAAGGATGACGCCTAAGGGTTGTCTTTTCCCAAACAACGGGAGAGAAATGGTGTCAGTTACAGAGCGAGGGAAGAGGCCGGAAGAGTAGGCTTATGGAGATTTTTAGACATCTAAGTAAGGTTGTCAAGTAGCCAGGTGGACATATGACTCCAGAGCCCAAGTTAGATGTTAGAGTTGGAGATAACAATGTGGGAGTCAACCCACATAGAAGACAGAGCACCATGGAGTAGGCCAAGGCTTCCTGGAGCGTGAGCTAGCTGGAGAAGAGGATGGGCAGAGATGGAGCCAGGGGCTCGAATAGCTGTGAGGAGGGAGAAGGGGATCTAGCAGAGTGGAGTGGGAAGGAGCAGCAACCAGGAGTCCTTGGAGTGACGACACTGTCCCTCCAGGCCTCTAGAGTGAAGTCACTTGTCTCTCAGACTGCTGTGGCTCATGGGCATAGCTGGCAGCTCTCCATACCTAGGCCAGCCTGCCTGCCCGTGTGTCTTAGGACGAGGTGCTGACGAGACCAGTTGCTTCGTGCCCTTGCAGACAGCCTGGGCTTGAGAACTTACGTACCTGGGCTTGTCTCCATACTCCTCAGCCCTAGCTGCATACCCTGAGTCAGGAGATGGGTCACCTCTGGATGAAGGGCAGCAGGCTCTGCCCAAGGCTGTGTGGCCACCCAGTGGCCATGCCTTAAGCTTGGGACAGAGAGGCCAGCCAAGAGGCAGGGTCACAGGCTAAGCCTCTTTCTGTTTGTCACCCCTGCCCATCTCTAGCACTCGGACATGCCAGAGGAGATGCGAGTGGAGACCATGGAACTATGTGTCACAGCCTGTGAGAAATTCTCCAACAACAACGAGGTATTGCCATCCGTGTAGGTGGCCCCTGGCAGCCTTAGGTGGCCCCTGGGGTCAATAGCCAGGTCCACAGCCAGCTCCAGAGAGGCCTGCTAGGTCTAGGTGAGGGCCATCCTTGGAAGCATCCGTAGTCTGGGAAAGGGCTGATGAGGGAATAGGCTGGCACTGACTTGCACACTGATGGGTCACCCAGCCTGAGAAGAAGAGCCAGGTCTCTGCACCCCTGCTTGTGTCCCCATCTCAGGGTCTGCTGATAGGGCCCCTTTCCCCTTGGCGCCATCCCCACATTGAGCACAAGCCCACCCATCCATGCATCCATCCACCCACCCACCCATCCATCCACCCACACATCCACCCAGGAGTAGCTTGTTAGGCACCATCTCTCTGCCAGGCACTGCTCTAGGTGCTGGGGGGTGTGGCCAATAGGCATCTACACAAGAATGCCATTCATCCGTCTGATGGGGGCTAGGAAGGAGTCAGGGTCTACAGGAGCCCAGGTGTGGGGCCAGGCAGGCCCAAGTTCACATCCTGTCTCCAGTCCTTCCTAGCTCTAACCTTGGAGAGCTGTTTTCCACCTGTGCCCCAGCCTCCTGGTCTGTACAATGGGACGTGATGGTGCCTTCCTCCCTGGGCTGGCGGTGAGGATTACTCATTGAGGCAGTGAGGCCACGTGCTCACTGTGGGCACTGGAAGAACCCATGGGGTAGGCATGGCTGGCGCACATCAAGGGCCTAAGCACGGGGCTCATGGCTCCTCTGCCTGTCCCAGACCTCTTTCTTCATGGTGAGGGAAGCTTCTTGAAAGCATGCACAGGAAGAGGTAGGCTGGTGCAAAAGCTGAGGTCAGCAGCCTGGCCTTTGCTCCTGGAGCCTGTGGAACCCGTTAGGGAGAGCGGGACAATAAACCCAGCACCTCACAGTAACATGACAAGCCTTGCTGTCTGCAGTGCCCTCACATGTGTCACTTCACTTGGCCTGAGGACAGCACTACGGGCTCGTTCACAGACGAGGAGTGGTACTGAGGCAAAATGACCAGGAAGGGCCAAGCCAGAACTCAAGTCCAGGCTCTGTCCAGAGCTAGCGTTCGCTCAACCACCTTCCCCAGTCTCTTCCTGACTGGTGAGGTGACGTCCGGCTTTCAGTTCAGTGTGTAGCTGGCAGTCAGTGACCTGTGTAGAAATCCTTCCTGAAGGTTCCACGTGCAGGAGAGCAACACTGGCAGGTCAGCAGGCCTCTCTCTTGCCAAGACCTGGTTGCCAGACTTCTACCTGGAAGGGAACCGGACACGTGCCCACTGTCCCCCAAACTCCCCCCTCTGAGGACTGTCCTCTTCATTCCAGAGTGCCGCCAAGATGATCAAAGAGACGATGGACAAGAAGTTTGGCTCCTCCTGGCACGTGGTGATCGGCGAGGGCTTTGGGTTTGAGATCACACACGAGGTGAAGAACCTGCTGTACCTGTACTTTGGAGGGACCCTGGCTGTGTGTGTCTGGAAGTGCTCCTGACACTCTGTCCCCCACCCTGGCTCCCGTGCCCTGTTGGGGCTTTCTCGGCCGTTCTTCAGGGGTGGGAAGCAGCCTAGGCAGGCCCTGGTTCTACCAAGGAGAGTGGGGGTCTTGTCTTTCTGTCCTGTGCACCAGTTTTCCTGAGCCACGCCCAGTGTGTGAATTTGCTGGTATCTAATGCCAGGCTCTCAGCGTCCCACTCTGAGTCCAGGGCGTGAGCAGGAGCAGCAGCTCTCTGTGGAGGAGGTGGGGGATGTGGCCGGGCAGAAGGAGGACGTGGCAGCTTCCACTCCCCTGGGCTGCTCTCCCCTGGCATCCGCAGAACCCTCTCCCTTTCCATCTCCCTCGCTGCTGTGACGTGTCCATTGTCCTTGTCTTTAGTGGCCATACGACAGTGGCCCCAGGAAGGAGCCTTGCCTCTCAAGGGACACTGGCAGCATCTCTCTCTGTCCTCTGGGGAGGTGGCGATCCCCCCACTTGACCCCAGGCTGAAACAACCACTGCGTCTCATTGGTCCAACCGCTCATCCGCCTCCACTTGGCAGGATGGACCAAGTGGCCTGGGCCATCCAGCTTGTGTGTCCCCGAGCCGCCAGAACGCTTGAACCCTCACACTGCTGTGCCCTGTGCGGTTGGTAACCACTGGTGAGGGTGTGGGCACTTCCAGGGAGCAGTTTGTCGAGGTGTCTGGAGCCTCCGGTGAGCCGCCTGGGCCAGGAGTGCACTCACCCACGGGGCCTGTCTCAGCAGGGAACCTGGCTGCCAGTTACTTATCATCAGGGACCGCATGCCGATTTGTATTTCTTACCTCTGCTGGCTTTCTGTATTCTTTCTGAGTGTGGGGAGAAGGGTTTTAGTAGAAGGGTGAATCGTATTTTACACAGCGGTCTTATTTATATAAATGTCTTGGGTTTTACAATTAAAGTGACCAAAAACTGATCTTGATGTACAGCCTCTTGGAATCAGGGGAAATGGGGCTCGTCCATCTGAGGTGGGTCCCAGGAGCCCAGAAATGCTTCTGGCTGAACAGCTGCGCTGCTGGAAACCCTGTGCCCCAGGCCCTGCCCCTCACTGTGGCCCCGCCCTCTCACTCTGCCACTCACCCTGGCCCCGCCCACTCCCCTGGCCTTGTCTGCTCCCCACCCCACCGCCACCCCCACCCTGTCTCTCATCCCCACCCTGCTGGCTCACCCCCACTTGTCCACTCACCCGGGCCTCACCCACTCACCCTGCCCTGCCCTTCACCTGGGCCCTCACATGGGTACCTCATGGTTGGGGACTGATGTTGTTGTGTGAGGCCTCGTGGGCCAGGCTGAGCTGTATAGTTCAGCAGACTTATTTGGCAGCTGTCCTGTGCCAGGCCCCCTTCCAGGAGCTGTGGGTACAAAGATGACAGCCACCGTCCTGCCCTCCGGGAGCTCACAGTCCATTATGGAGGACCCTTGAAGCCAGTTGTCCTGATGTGGAAAGTGACAGGATAAATGGCATTCTGGAAGAAGTGTGCCTTCTAGCCCAGGAGCAAGCGTGGGCCTGTGGCTGGCCTGATGCCTGGGGGTTGGCTCTTGGAGGAGTGGGGCTTCTGGGGGTGGGCATCCAGGCAAGGGATGGGTGAGGGTGAGCGCCCAGGTGAGAAACGGCTTGGGGACGAGGGGCCACGTGCTGGACCGTGAAGCCCCTTCCGCTCAGGGCTGGCCCCTGGGGTGCCTATGCTCCCCTGCCCGCCTCCCCCACACCCTCCTGGGATGGCCCCCCTAGCTCTCAGGCCTGGGAGCACCAAGGTACTTGCCCTGGTGCGCCGTCAGTGGATTTGCAGGCTGGCATCGCAGCCCATAGAGATCGGGGACCTGGGTGGCTGGAAGGGGGCGCCTCTGCCTTTGTGAGCTTCACCGGTGCCTGCTGAGCTGTGCTGAGTGCTGGGTCCTGACTGGGTGCTGTGGGCAAAGAACAAGAAGTCAGTGCCCCCAGGCTGGCCGCCGGGTCGGTGGGTCCCCGGCTCTGACTGGAGCAAGGCCTGCCCTGCCCTGCCCTGCCCTGCCCGGCTGTGCATACTGGGTAGTGCTGGAGAGGGGAGAACGGGCCTGGAATAGCTTTGGGTTAGTACCCGCCAGCTTTGCATCTGTTCCGTCTGTGGAGCTACCACACGTGGGTGCCACCTCCCCACAGCCAAAGCGGTGGGGCGAGAGTTGGTGAAGAGCCGGGGCTCCGAGGCACACAGATGTGGGTTCAGGTCCAGCCCTGCCCTTCCTAACTTCCGTTGTCTCCTCTGTAGAATGAGGATGAAAATAGCACCACGTCATAAGGCTGTGGGATTCCTGGGAAGGCTCAGAACAGTAGCAGTGTTTGCTTTAGTGCTGTCCTTACTGCGCAGCCTGGGGGTCCCTGCCCTCCCCCATCTATGAAACACCGACACCTCGTGCCTCAGGCCTCAGGAGAGCTTAGCCAACCAAGCTTCCAGGTGTGTCCCTGAGACAGACGGCTCCCCCCTAGCATGGGAGTGCCCTCCCCTCAGGCATTCCTGTCCCCTGTGGCAGACACCCCTGCCCCGCTGCAGCGTGACAGCCATGTTTCCACAGGGATTTCTGGGCCCCAGTGATGTTTCACTTTCTGCCCCTGTCACCGTGGCCTTCCTCACTGGCCCCCACTGCTCACAGTCAGTGACATGATGGGCATGTGCCGAAGTGAGCTGAAGAGGTGAGGGACAGAAACTGAAGACAGCACCGACCTTGCCAGCAAATGGCTCACAGAGACCGAAGGACTGGAGACATCTGAGTGCTTCACTAGGAGAAGGAAGATGGTGCAGGGAGGAGCGCTGAGTAGGCCTTGGCATCTTCGGGGGAGTGATGAGATGGGTGGGTGCAGGGAGAATGCCCCCATGGGCTGAGGGAGCAGCAGCCTGGGCAGAGCAGTGGTGGTCCAACAAACGCTCCTGAGTGGTCAGGGAGGCCGCGTGGTGGGGGATGGCGTTCCCGAGAGGGTGAAGGTGAGGAGAGTTGGGCTGAAGTGAAGGGGCTGCTCGGGGGTTGACAGAGAGACGAGTTCTGCTGAGTGTCCCCCACTTGACAGGCCCTGGGCTCTGACCCTGGTGACCAGGATCACACATCAACCTTAGCAGTCCCCCAGGTGTTATCACTGACCCTTTCACAAATGAAGAAACTCACATCCAAGGATGCAGACAGCATGCCTAGGGGCCAGCTGGCCAGGACCAGACCCAGGCCCTCCAGCCTGCAGTGCTGCCGCTGTTTCCCACGTGCTGTGTCCACGTGCGGCCTTGGTTTACCTCCAATCCAGAGACCTGGACTCACTCAGTCCTCAGGCCACCACCTTGCCCAGCTCAGGCACAGCAGCTGCGGGGTTTGCTTAGTGGAAGCTGCAACCACAGGCTGCAGCCATGGTGGCCAGGCCCCGTCCAGTGCAGCTTGGGCCTCTCTGCAGTATCAGAGTTGATGTGAAGGATTGGCAGCCTCCTTCAGACACATCTGGAGAGCAGGTCACAGGCCCGAACTCACAAGGCGCATCCCGGTGCCTGGCTGAGCAGTGGGTGCCACGGCCAGAGAATGAAGCACTGAGCATCTCCCCAGCCCAGGGGACCCACAGGCTCCAGAACCACAGGTCTCACCAAGAGGGGCGTGGAGACGCCGAGCCAGTCAGCCTGAGGAGGTAAAGGGCGGGTTCATGGGCATGGTGCTAACGGGGCTGCCTGTGGCGCTCCCAGTGGGGCCTGTGGGAAAAGCTGAAGGATATTTAATGTTGTCTTGGAGGAGATGCAGAGAAACTTCAGGATCCGGCTCAGCCTGCTTCCTGCTTCCCTGGGCGCCGGGCCCACAGGCAGGCGGGGGTCCGCTTGGGTGGTGAGTGAAAAGCTTTGGAGCAAGACTTAGCTCCTTAAGAAGAGGCCATGGGGCCAGGTGTGTCCTTCAGATCCCCACCCCACGGTGGGAAGAGGCTGGTGTAGCCACAAGCCGCCATTCTGTTCTATTTTCCTTTTGTCCTCGTCTCGTATTTAAAGCATCCACCTCCACTCTCAGCTGCTGTCATCAGCCCTCAGAAGGGAACACAGCCCTGGAGGCAGAAGACGGAAATTAATAATATCCCAAACTGTTCAGTGCCCAGAGTGTGCCAGGCACGGTGCTAAGCCCTTTACAAACTATCGTTGAACTCTTGCGTCCATTCTGCAAGGAGAGACCACGAGGACCCCAGTTTACAGGTGAAGGATTGCGGCCTGGAGAGGGTAGGCAGCTTGCCCTGGCTCACACAGCAATTAAGTGGCAGAGCCAGGATTCACTGTGGGCCTGTGACACCAGAGCCCAGCTCTCAACCCTCCACAGTGGATGGCCTGTCAGGCTGGGCAAGCCACTGCTTCTCCCATCTTGGTTTCCTCCTCTGTGTGTGTGTGTGTGTGGGGGGTGCTCACGCCTCCGGCCCTGCCGGCTCCCATGTTCCTGCAGGGCCCAGAGGATGGTGGCCACCAGCATGGAAGTACTTTAGAGCTGGGAAGAGGTGATCAAGGTTTGGGTCAGGACCATTTGAGGTGCCACCCCCCACCCCCCCGAGAGCTTCCACTCGTGGTAGGAGGCTTGGGAGTTTGGAAGGGCTGGGTGAGCAGGGCAGGTAGACAGTTGCCTGCAAGGTGCTGAAGACAGCTGGGCCCTGCAGAGCTGGGGTGTGAGAGGCAACTACCCCACATGGGGACAGCTGGGACCGGACCCGTCCTTCCATCTTGAGCTGGAAAGACAGTCCCACGAAGTAGTGCTGGTGAGGACTTGGCTGTTGCCAGGCACTGGCCAGTGCCATTTGCTCTCCAACCTCATCTTGGCCCAGTGAAGTGGCACAGTGGGGACTGTTAGGATCCCCCACAGTCGCAGAGGGGAAAGGGCGCCCACAGAACTCGGGACTGGCCACAAGTGAGGCCGAGCCTTGGACCGAGGTTCCTCCACTGCTCACAGTAGTCTCAGAGACAAGAAGAGAGATGCCAGCTCCTCCAGGAAGTCTGCCCGGCTGCACCCCACACCCCATCTGGGCTGGAGAGACCATTTTGTGTTGCCACTGTGCCATGCCTCGTGTCATGTGTCTGTCCCTGCCACAGTTGGCTGACTTGGTGACAGGAACTGTGTGCTGTCTGTGCACCCACAGTACCGACACAGTGTGATG